GTCTCTGGGCTGGGTGGGGAGGGTCTGTAGGGTGGTGGGGGGGTTCAGTAAGGGGGGGCGATTCTGGAGGGTTTGACCCCTCTGCTGGACCCCATTGTGGTGGTTTGAAATGCCCGATCCTTAGGGATTGGGATTTAACAAAAACCCCATAAATGTCAGTTTTGTTTCCAAAGGAAACACGGCGAGGAAGGAAAGACCCGCCGGGGGAGATCGGGGACCCTCCACCCCACAGGAATTGGGGAGGGAAACTTGAACTGTGGCTGGATCCAGCTGGGAAGGAGTGGGAAGGACAAATCCCTTCTCCCTCATTAGTGCCTAATTATTGCCTCGTTATTATTAATGTGGGGGCGGACACGAGACCTGTGAGGGGCTCCTGGAGGATCCCGGGTGATCCCACCCCTGGGGCACAGCCCCCCCTGCCCCCACTCCCATTCCCTGCCTTTTCCCGGTGTGGAATTTTCCGGTGACTCACCGGTTGCACCCAAATCTCCCCGATTTGCTTTAAGCTCTGGGGCTCTGCAGCGTTTTTTTCCCATGGGAATGGTGGGGAAGGGGCTCTGTGCCCCCCTAAAGCAGCACGGGGTGGGGGAGGGCTGGGCACAGGGACAGGGACACCTGCCAGGCCCCAAATAGTCCTGGGGGACACTAAAAATAACCCCTGAGGGACAGCCCGGCTCGGATTCCCAGTTGGAAGCTGCCCATGGCACTGGGGAGGGTTTGGGGGGGCTGAGAGACCCTCTTTTCCCTCGTGGGGTGCAAGGGGGGGGGAACTGGCACCAGAATAAAGCCCTGAAGTGATTCAGCCCCACTGTGAACCCTCAGGGGGCTTCAGGGGGGGCAACACCCCAAAATCTCCCATTTAGGGTGGGCAGAATCCCAGAATCTCCAACCCAGGGTGGGCAGTACCCCCAAATCTCCCTCCCCCCCAGAGGGCATCAGGGTGGGCAGGACCCCCCAAATCTTCCACCCAGGTGGGCTGGGGGGGGGCAGAACCCCAAAATCTCCAATCCAGGGA